TTACATCCCTTAATTTAAAATGAAACAGCCTATCTGATATATCAGGAAAGACCAAGGTGAAAAGTATCTGGCAGTGTTTGCAGGCAACTTTACAGTTTAGGGAAAGTGAAAGAAAGTTTAAGGACTGGGAAAACCAAACATAAAGTTATCTGATAACAGATTCCAGACTGGTTCAGAGTTGTGACTTCCAACCCCATGTAATTTAGTTTGGGGACAATGACTGGCAACTTAATTGTGGACAGAGGATGAAGGAAAGGTGACCAAAATGACTACTGATGCTTAGGAAGGGCTTGACTATGGAGAGGACGCAGTAATGCCTGCTGAGAGGGTTACTATAACCCGAAGTGGAAAATGGGAAAATACAAAATTCACCACATGCTTATGAAGAAAGTGATTTAAAGATGGAAAAAAAAGTCAACAGAGTATTCTAAGACTGCCATTGTTAGAAAGGCCTGCTTGCCAGGCTGGCTCTTGGCTGGCATCTGGGCACTTGCTTGGTAAGCAGTTCCTTACAATGACAGTAAACATTCCCTGATTGATAAGATGGTACACTGTACCTAAATTGTTTGTATAAGTAATGTGGTTTATGATGAACAACTACTTTCCTTCTGGGAGTCTAAAATTTGCGTAGATGTTAGACAGACAATACGCACATGAGCAGCCCCAATAATAACCTTGGTCACTCAGTCTCTAAAGAGCTTTCCTGGTTGATATCTGACATAATGTCACAAGTCATTAGTGGAGGATTTAAGTGCACCTTATATGGCTCCACTATGAGAGGACTCTTGGAATCTTATGCCTGGTTTCCTCTAAGCCGTGCCTCATGTGCCTTTTCCCTTTGCATCCTTTCACTGTAATAAATCCTAGCCATGAATATGACTGCAGGCTGAGTCCTCTCAGTCTTCCTAGCTAATGGGAAAACCTGGGGGTGGTCTTAGGGACTCTCTACACAAGTAGAACAGTGGGAAGGAAGGACAAATTTGGTAGAGATACAGAGTGCAAGGAGGGGGGAAAGAAAGAAAATATATCAAGTCTCATGTGCTAAAGCAGTGATTCTCAACACTGGCTGCACATTAGAATCACCTGGGAATCTTTTTTAAATCCTGATTTCTGTGCCTCATCCCCTGGAAATTCTATTTCTTTGTTACTAATGTTGTGGCCTCACCCCATAACAAAGAAACAGAATTTCCGGAGTTAAATTTCTGGATGAGGCCCAGAAATCAGGATTTTAAAAAGATTCCTAGGTGATTCTAATGTGCAGCCAAGGTTGAGAACCACTGTGCTAAAGGAAAGTGGTGAGTCAGTTGCCTACTTTCCAAACTCCATTTTGAGATGGCTGATGTCAGTTCCCGCAATCTCAGGACCAGGAGGGAATACATTTTTCTCTCATACGTACGTCAGTATCTCCGTCTCAAATCCTTAATATAGCCTCCAGAAAATTGGTTGTCATGACTAAGCAAGGAAAAGTAGTTTGAGTGGTTAGTTTTACATTACTGTAAAACTCTCAAGATCTTTTTCTTTTTGATAGCTAGAGATTCTTATGACCTTTTAAAAATAGTTATCTACAAGATGGGAAACAACTATACATTACAATATAAATAGGAATAGCTGTATTTTTAAAAATATTATTTTTAAATTATCTTACTAGAAATTCACCTTTTTTTGGTGTACAGTTCTATCCATTTTAGTATATGGAATTATGTAATCACCATCATAATCACAATATGGAACAACTCTATTGCTCCTAAAAACATCTCATGCTATCCCTTTGTATTGACACCTTCTCCCTATTCCTAACCTATGGAAACCACAGACATGCTCTTTAGCACAATAGTTTTGTCTTTTTGAGAAAGTCATATAAATGAAATTATACAATACAGTGGGGCCTTGACTTACGAGTTTAATTCGTTCCGAGACCGAGCTCGTTAAGGAGCTAGTTAACTCAAATTACTCTATCAACTCAATGCAAAAAATCGGCCGAGAGACAGCTGGTATCTCAAAAAACTCGTTAGTCGGGACACTCGTAAGTCAAAGCCCCACTGTATTAAACTTTTTGGGTATGGCTTCTTTAACTCAGATTCATCAAGATTGTTGCATGTATCAATGGTTCATCCTTTGTTGCCCAAGTAGTATTCCTTTGTTTGATGTTCCACAGTTTAGTTAATTGCTGAAAGACATTTAGACTGTTTCCAAATTTTGGTGATTATGAATAGAATTGTTATTAACATTTGTGTTCATGTTTTTCATTTTTCCAGGGTAAATTCCCAAGAATGGGATTACTGGGTCTCTTGGTGAGCATATCTTTAACTTTATGACAAACTATTTTCAGAATGACTGTACCATTTTATATTCCCACCAGTAGTGTCTGAGAGTTTCAGTGGCTCTACATTCTCAAATCTACTTGGTATGGTTAGTCTTTTTAATTTAATTTAATTATATTTTTTGTGTGGGGGATGGAGGGCCGGAGGAGTGTGGGGGCAGGGAGAGGAGAAAGGGAAAGGCAGAAGGCAGGGGCGTGCTCCATGGAGGGAGAGCCTTTTTAATTTTAGACATTCTAATAGGTGTGTAGTGGTATCCCATTGTGGTTTTCATTTGCATTTCTAATAACTAATGGTGTTGAACATCTCTGGAAATATGTATATTCTTAAAAACCCAAAAAGGTTTTAATAAACGTAATCATGCTGTACTGTAGAATCTGAATGTTTTAAGGTAGCCTATCCTAATAATATTCAATAAAATATATGAGGTTTTCCTGTGACAATAAAATTCAGAAATTAATATACTGTAATGAAAAAGAGAATATATATATATTTTTAAACCCTACCTTTTCTTGCTGAAACCAAGCCTGCTAATCCTGAAACTGTAATCACTCCCATTTTCGGAAGAAAATCTCGTGGTGGATCCTTCAGATAAACATATGCATCTCAAGAAATCAGTGAAAAATTAATATAAATGACTTATACAACTGGATATTCTACATAGGTATAATGCAGAACAGTTAGAGATAATAGCAAATGGTTTAAACACTTCAAAAGAACTATACAAAATAATGATTTAAGCAGTGACTTAAAAGCTAGTTATAATAGTTACTTGTTACAAAATTAAATCTTCCTTCCAAAGCTGATTTCATATTTGTTTTCTTAACAATACAGGTTATTACTCTTCAATGAAATATGATGCTACAGTCAGTACCTTAATATGGATTATTATAAAGTAAATTCTTGATTGTGTAAGTACTCTATACATATAATAGAAATTATTCTGACCATATCTACTCAAACATTGGTAGGATCCAGTAAGCACTGAAATACTTTATTAGAGAACTTAAAATAATAGTCTAGGGATATATGTAGGCATTAAATCCTGCATGCCACTACTCCCAGTAACCTCAGAGCCGATGTTGATCTTGGTTAAAATCAAGATGATCAGGCTCTGGTCGATTATCTCAGTGGCTAGAGCTTTGGCCCTTGGATTGAAGGGTGAAGGGTTCAATTTCTGGTTAAAGGAGGCAACCAATTGATGTGTGTCTCACATCAATGCTTTTCTCTCTCTCTCTGCCCCCCTCCCTCCCTTCCATTCTCTCTGGAAACCAATGGAAAAAATATCCGCAGGTGAGGATTAAAAAAAATGATCAGGATGAGAAGTGAGCCTAGATAAAAAGTAGATGGAGAGTGTGCAGAAGACTAGATTTCTTGGCTTTTTATACATTTTAATTGTATTGGTTCTATGCAGTCCAAAGCCACACTCTTCTATCATTGTTAATTATTTAATGGCAATAAGTTATTTAACGATATTCCTTAAGATTGATGAGAATATAATTTGGAATTAATTCCCACAACATACGTAAAATAATGATAATATATATACTGGTCATCAATATCAATATCGTAGAGACTTTTAAAATTTTACCCTGATCTTTGTGTCCTCTATACATTTATTATGACAACTGGCTTAGGTAAAAAAAATTAAGAACCTATATCTGATGCCAAACACCATTATCAAACTAAAGACTCAAACACATTAGCTCAAATATTCTAGGGTGTGATTGATTGGTATAGTGTTTCCTAATAATCAATAGCAAAATACTATGTGTTTTAACTGCAAGTAGCACTTATTAAAAGTAGCTAATAACAATGGAGACATGTTTCTAATTTATGCTTTATGAGTATATAATATAAACAGACAGTTTGACAGTTTGAATTCAGATGCTGCCACTTACTAATTATGTGATCTTGGTAACCTACTTAATCTTTCTAAACCCCAGTTTCCTCATCTGTAAAAGGAGAATATTTAAAATACCAAGTCACAAAGTTGCTATAAAAAGTAAATTAGATAAATTATGTAAAATGCTTATCATAGTGACTTAGCATATAATAATAGCCAAATAAATTGTAGATACTATTGTTTTGGTATTATTATTATAAACTGCTATGCAGAGTATCTTTACAGTTGTTAAAACATAATAATGGATAACATACTATGTTTTTTTTTCACATTTTAACATTGCAAGTTAAAAAGACAATGGAGCATTCCTAATTACAAGTGATTTACTCACCTACCTTTTCCAAATTGAACTGTATCCATTATCCCATTTTTCACAAAGACATAAACACCCTAAGCAAAAAGGGGAAAAAAGGTAACCTGCATTTTTTAAAATGTTGACAATTAGATCAGACAGTTGACATCGCTGGTATTTTATTAAAATGTTGACAGCATTGCACTCAAATCTAAATTGAACTTTCCTATTTATTCACTATGAGGGTATTTGTTGAACTTAGCTTCTCTTGATTTCTTTCTTTTCATTCTATTTAACATGGATAATACTTGTTTACTATTTTCCTCATATTAAATAAGTACTGCCTATAAAATAATCGGAGCAGCTCAGACAAAACTTATTGCAGAAATACAAATATTTGTCATCTGATTTTATAATGGCCTAGAAAATTGAATGGAATTTAAATAAAGCATAAAGAGAGGTATATTTCAGCTTAGAAGCAATATCTGATTAATAAAGATGCAGCAGCAATAACATACAGCCTAAAGAAAAGTACTTCATCTTCTCCTTTTTTTAAAGTGTGCGTTAGAATGAGAAAAGAACCTAATTAAGACATTTATCTCAGGATAGAAATCATCCTACACAGGCTAGCCTCCATCTTGTTTTTAAATAGCAACATAAATTATCTACAAATCAAGATTAATTAACCCATGGAAGGATTAAAGCTTTAAATCAAATTTTTCATTTTACCTGTTTCCAACTAATTTATTTTGATGCAAGAAATATTGTCATACACATTTATTGAGTGATAGGTACTATCTCAATTACAGCAGAAGAAAAATAAGGCTTGAAATGATTTTTCATAGTAATTCCACATAGATATGCTGTACTCCACTGAAGGAACCAAAAAACACAATCTAAATATATGGTCTCCTTCTCTAAAATAGCTGCTTTTAAACCATGGGATAAAAAAAACAAGAGAGATTTTCAAAGCAAATAAAATGGAAAAGAGTATATTAGATGGGAAAGGAATAAGTTATTGCTATTGAGATATCTTGGTTTTAATAACTTTGCTTCAGATATTTTCATGGTGCTCAGAGATGCACAGGTTTATTCTGTTCACTATGGTTTCAAGCTGTACAAACCAACATAGACCCTAACTGCCATGAAACTTCTTCTCTTTAGGGACTGCCTCTTGAGAAAATTTCACCTTCACATTATACTTATTGACCAGGTGAGTGGAAAATCGTGTTACTGTTGAAGAAACAAACTAGTAACTTCTTTTAGAAAAATTTCCACAGCTAGGTTTAGACATTCACTTTTACCACTGGGGATCACTGTTATCTAAATTTCAAAATATCATCAAGGAGTAGGAGTAGAAACTGAATTTGCCCTACACGATTCAAAGTTTAATGCAGAATGTAATTTGAGTCAGAATTAATTTTTAAAGAACATATTACATTTTTAGAGGAAAATTAGAGAGGAAACATTGTTTACATTGAAGATGAAATGCATTCAAAAGTGACCTTCTTCAACCTAATTGTTTCAGCATATTAACAAATATAAAGTTCTTTCAATCTTTCTTAAATTGGATGATAGTTAAATAGCAATTTAAGTATCTCACTAAACAATTTACCTCACTGAAAAAACAACTTTGAGACACTATGGAAAATTAGGTCTCAGGAGACTACAGTATGAATCATCTAGTTGCTGGCATGATTCAGAGCCATTAGTTAAGATATTTCACTCTGAGTGTGCAGTACAGTAGTACCATTAGAATTATTTGACAGGAAAATTTTAAAAAAACCACAATATATTCACTGGATGTTTTAAATATCATCTAGAATAGCAAGAGTTCACAGATTTGGTATTTCAATCAGATCATTAGATTTTTCTTTTAAAAAGAATGGATTAGAAACAAAAAAGGCACAAAGTTAACAATTGGCTATATTTGAAGCAAATTAGTATAGCTATTAGGTCAGAAAGATGAAAATAATGGTACCAGCATTATAATTATGACACTGACATTTGAGACATTGATGCTAACACACTTATGTTGACCCAAAGATAAAGCAACATCAGTACTGCATCAGCTTACTCCACTGCTGCTGAGTACTGCTGACTGAAGGCTAAGTATCAAAATAAGGTGAATTATATTTTGCCTCATAGCTCATTGTAGTCAAATTGATCTTATGAGCTAAACAAAACAAGTGAAAATTTTGCTTAGTCAAATAAGAAGCAATTAAAAAGTAATGTCAGAACTTCATGTAACAGGCCAAACAATGTTTTATACATGGTAGGTGACATACTAGGAAATGCTTGTTGAACTACTTTAATCTTTGAAGTAGTGGTATGGTAGAATAAATATGGCCACAAATTATTTGCTGCTACTTGTATTGAGGGGTGGCATTTTTTCCTCTCCCTCAAAAAATTAGATTGGCCTTAGTAACACTAGAATGCTGTAGAGGAGACTTTCGTAGACATCTGAGGATAGGTAAGAAACTTGGCAAATTCATACCTAGGGCCTCTTGTAACATTTTCTGTAGGAGCCCTGAATTGCCCATGTAAGTTATCTGGCCACCTTGCCTGAGAGGCCATGTGTAGGTGCTTTAGTCAACATTCCCAACTGAGCCCAGCGCTCTAGCATCTGTGACAAGTTGCCAGTCATGAGAATGAAGCTGTTTTGGACCTGATGAATCCCACTGAGTGACCTCTGTGAACACCAGAAGAACACCTGTCTGAACTCCAATCCAATTCCTGATTTACAAAATAATGAAATATAATAGAATGGTTGTTGTTTTAAACCACTAAGTTTGGGGGTAGTTTGTTACACATCAATGGGTAACTGGAACAACTGGTATGCAATACAAATAAGAAATCCTCTAATATTGAACAACTATTAGAATAGACTTACCTTGCACCAGCCAATATAACGACCAGTTGTAGTGCGGATGGAGGCAAAGCCCATTTGTAAATTACCAGGCTGCTCTTCAACATATTTAGATTGAAGAGGTGGTGAAGCATATATAGGGAGCTAGAGGCAAAAATAAATAGATAAACAAACAAACTAACTTCATGTCAAAAATATAAAAAATCTGAAATTACTTTTCCAACAGTATGGCAGAATAAGAATCTTCACCAACATTCTTGCTAAATTCAACTAAAAATACTGATTATTTTTAATTTAATTTATTAGAGTCACATTGGTTAATAAAACTATAGTTTCAGGTGTACAATTCTACAATACATGATCTGTATACGTGATTGTGTGTTCCCTACACCAAGTCAAGTCTCTTTCTATCACCATTTATCTCCCCTAAACTCACTTCTACCTCCTCCTCAGACTCCTTTCCCTCTGGTAATCACCATACTGTTGTCTGTGTTTTTCTTCCTTAATCCTTTCGATTTTTTTTTCATGTAGCTCCCAACACCCCTCCTCTCTGACAACTGTCAGTCTGTTCTCTTATCTATGGGTCTGTTTCTATTTAGTTTTTTAGTTTATTTTGTTCATTAGATTCCACATGAGTGAATTCATATGGTACTTGTCTTTCTCTGACTAGCTTATTTCACTTAGCATAAAGATTTCCAGGTCCATCCATGCTGTCATAAAGGGAAAGATATCCTTTTTTATAGCCAAGTAGTATTCCATTGTGGAAATGTACCACACCCTTTTTATCCATTCATCTACTGATGAACATTTGAGCTGTTTATGGATTTGTTATTGTAAATAACTCTGCTATGAGCATAGGGGTGCATATATTCTTTCTGATTCGTGTATTAGGTTCCTTTGTATATATTCCCAGAAGTGGAATCACTGGGTTATAAAGTTTTTCCATTTTAACTTTTTGAGGTATTCCATATTGCTTTCCACAGTGGCTGCAGCAATCTACATTCCCACCAACACTACAGCACTCTGTTGTTTGTTGATTTATTGATGAAAGCCATTCTGACAGGTGTGAGGTGACATACCATCATGGTTTTAATTTGTATTTCTCTGATGATTAGAGACGGTGAGCATCTTTTCTTATGACTATTGGCAATCTGTATGTCCTCTTTGGAGAAGTGTATATTCAGGTGCTTTGCCCATTTCTTTTTGTTTGTTAATCCTCACTTGAGGATATTTTTTCCATTGCTTTTTAGAGAGAGTACAAGGGAGGGAAGAGAGAGAGGGAGGGAGAGAGAGAGAGAGAGAACATCAATGCAAAAGAGACACATTGATTAGCTGACTCCTGCAGGTGGCTAATCAGGGCTGGAATTTAACCTGCAACACAGGTACGTGCCATTGACCGGGAATCAAATCCAAGACCACTTGGTGCATAGGCCACCATGCTAACCATTGAAAGATACAGGCCAGGGCAGGCTTTGCCCATTTTTAGTTGGAATTTTTGGGGGGTGTTTAGTTGTATAAGTTTTTTTTTATGAATTTTGGATATTAACTTCTGATCAGAAGTATCACTGGTGAATATGTTCTCCCCTTCAGTAGGTTGTCTTTTCATTTTGTTAATAATTTTCTTTTGCTGTGCAAAAACTTTAATTTGATGTAGTCCCATTTGTTTATTTTTTCTTTGGTTTCCCTTGCCCAAGACGACAAATCACAAAAAAATATTGCGACTGGAAATTTCCAAGATTTTGCTGCCTATGTTTTTTTCTCATATTTTTATGGTTTTGAGTCTAACATTTAAGTCTTTTCCATTTTGAGTATATCTTGTATACGGTGTAATAAGGTGGCCTAGTTTTACCTTTTTTAATGTATCTGGACAACTTCCCCAACACCATTTATTGAAGAGACTATTTTTAACCCATTGTATGTTTTTGCCTCCTATGTCCAATATTAATTGACCATAGAGGTGTGGGTTCATTTCTGGGCTCTCTATTTGTTCCATTGATCTATGTCTCTTTTTATGCCAGTACCAGGTTGTTTTGATTACAATGGCTATGTAGGTATCAGGGAGGGTGATTCCTCCATATTTTTTCTTCTTTCTCAAGATTGTTATAGCTATTTGGGGTCTTTTGTTGTTCCACACAAATTTTTGGAACATTTGTTCTACTTCCATAAAATATGCTATTGTTATCATTGATAGGAGTTGCATTGAATGTTGCTTTGGTTACTATGGGTATTTTAACCATGTACAATTTTTTCCTATCAATGAAAACTATATATGCTTCCACTTTTTGGTAATTTCTTCAATTTCTTTGACATCTTATAAATTTCCAAGTACAGGTCTTGGTGAAATTTATTCCTAAGTATTTTTAATGAAATTTTGAGTGGGATTGTTTTCTTAGTTTCCCTTTCTGATAGTTCGTAATTGGTGTATGAAAAGGAAACTGATTATTGTATATTTATTTTGTATCCTGCTACTTTAATGAATTCATTTATCAGTTATAGTGGCTTATTGGTGCAATCTTTAGGATTCTCTTTATATAGTATCATGTCATCTGCAGATAATGACAGTTTTACTTCTTTGTTTCCCATTTAAATACCTTTTATTTTTTCCTCTTGTCTGATTGCTGTGGCTAGGACTTCCAGTACTATTTTGAATAAGAGTGGTGAAAATGAACAATCCTGTCTTCTTCCAGATCTTAAGGGAAACACTTGTAGTTTTGGCCCATTGAATATAATGTTTGTTGTGGATTTGTCATATATGCCCTTTATTATGTTGAGGTATGTTCCCTCTATTCCCACTTTACTGAGAGTTTTTATCATAAAAGGGTGCTGAATTTTATAAAATGCTTTTTCTGCATCTATTGATATGATCATGTGGTTTTTATCCTTCATTTTGTTTATGTGGTGGTTATCACATTTATTGACTTGCATATATTGTACCAACGTTGCATCCTCAGAATAAATCTCACTTGATCGTGGTATATGATTTTTAAATGCATTTCTGGATCTGGTTTGCTAAGATTTTGTTGAGGATCTTAGCATCTATATTAAAGACAATGGTCTCTAATTTTCTTTCTTTGTAGTATATTTATCTTATCTGTTTTTACATTAGGATAAGGCTGGTCTCATAAAATAAGCTTGGGAGTGTTTCCTGCTCTTGAATTTTTTGGAATAGTTTGAGGAGATAGGTGTTAGTTCTTCTTTGAATGTTTGGTAAAGTTCACTTGTGAAGCCATCCAGTCCAATACTTTTGTTTGTTAGGAGGTTTTTTGTTTTGTTTTGTTTTTTATTACTGCTTCAATTTCATTAGTTGTCATCTGTCTATTCATATTCTCTGATTCTTCCTGATTCAGTTTTGGAAGATTATATGTTTCTAGGAATTTATCTATTTCGTACGGATTGTTCAGTATTTTGGAAATATTGTTGTTCATTATACTTTCTTACAATCCTTTGTATTTCATTGGTTTCATTTCTGATTTTATTTATTAGGGTCCTATCCCATTTTTTTTTGATGAGTCTGTTTAAAGTTTTATCAATCTTGTTTATCTTTTCCAAGTAGCAGCTCTTGGTTTCATTAATCTTTTGTACCGATTTTTTAGACTCCTTTTTGTTTCTTTCTCTTCTGATCATTGCAATTTCTTACCTTCTACTCAATTGGGGCTTTGTTTGTGGTTCTTTTTGAAGTTCCTTTAAGTGTACAGCTAGATTTTTTACTTGAGATTTTTCTTATTCCTTGAGATAGGCCAGTAATGCTATGAATTTCCCTCTTAGAGCTGCTTTCACTGTGTCCCACAGATTTTTAGTTGTGGTGTTCTTATTTTCATTTGTTTCACATTATCTTTTGATTTCTTCCTTGATCTCAATGTTAACCTATTCATTGTTTAGTAACATGTTATTTAGCCTCCATGTTTCTGGGTGTTTTCCCTTTTTTTCCCTTGTGATTGATTTCTACTTTTATACCATTATAGTCAGAGAAAATGCTTGATATGATTTCAATCTTCTTAAATGTACTAAGACTTGTTTTGTGTCCTAACATGTGGTCTATCCTAGAAAATGTTACATATGCCCTTGAAAATAATGTATATTCTGTAGCTTTGGGGTGAAATATAAGAAGGTATCAATTAAAACCATTGGATCTAGTGTGTCATTTAAGGCCACTGTTTCCTTGATTTTCTGTTTGGAAGACCTATTAATGTCAATGGGATGTGAAAATTTCCTACTATGATTCTATTACCGTCAATCTCTCCCCTTATGTCCATCAACATTTGCTTTACATATTTAGGTGTTCCTATGTTGGGCGCACACGTGTTTACAAGTATTATATCTTCTTGTTGGACTGTTCCTTTTTATCATTATTTAGTGTCCTTATATCATTATATAGTGTTACTATAGCCTTTGATGTAAAGTCAATTTTGTCTGGTATAAGTATTGCTACCCCAGCTTTATTTTCCTTTCCATTTATGCAAAATATCTTTTTACATCCCTTTATTTGTAGACTGTGTGTAACTTTTGTTCTGAGGTGGGTTTCAAGTAGACACCATATATGTAAGTCTTGCTTTCCTATCCATTCAGCTACCTCATGCCTTTTTTAAGAAAAGTCTTTGCCCTAACCCATTTGGCTCAGTGGATAGAGTGTCAGCCTGTGGACTCAAGAGTCCCAGGTTAGATTCCGGTCAAGGGCATGTACCTTGGTTGCAGGCATATCCCCAGTAGGGAGTGTGCAGGAGGCAGTGTCTGGTCTGTGAAGCTCTTTATCTGACCTTCAATTTTAAATGATAACATTGTGAGTAATCTTGTTTGTAGGTCCTTGTTGTATATCACTATGAATATTTCTTGCCACTCCCTTCTGGCTTAAAAAGTTTCTGTTGAGAAATTACGTGATAGTCATATGGACACTCCCTTGTAATTAACTAACTGCTTTTCTCTTGCTGCTTTTAGGATTCTCTCTTTGTCTTTAACCCTTGGCATTTTAATTATGAATTATCTGAGTGTGGGCCTCTTTGGGTTCATATTGTTTGGGACTCTCTGCACTTCCTGAACTTTTATGTTTATTTCTTTCACAAGGTAGGAGAAGTTTTCTGTCAATATTTCTTAAAATAGGCTTTCAATCTCTTGCTCTTTCTCTTCTCCTTCTGGGACCTTCATAATGT